GTTCAGGTTCTAGACCCAATGGCTTGAAAATCTTGCTGGTGTGTGTGTGTGAACACACATGCTTGTGCATACCCTGAACCTTGAGAGAGTGGAGGAAAAGGGATTGAGGTGTGGCCATCGCCCCGGGAAGTGGTTTGTCATTTTTCCTCTCTGTCTCTCCAGTAAGCGCATGCACCCTATGACAAAAAAACAAACCAAACCAAAGAAGAGACAAAAGTGAATGGACCAAAAAAAAAGTGAATGGACCTACAGGATAATTAAGGTCATCGGAAGGTACCACATTACACACTAGCAATTCTGTTCTAGGCCACATGAATGCAGGGTTAAGGGGGTGATGACCCCACGAGCTCCCTGTCCCCGATTTCCCTGCGTCACTCCAGGGGAGAGCTTACAGGAAGAGGGATCGGGCTGGACTAGGTGCACAGGCAAGCCTCCAGGGAATCCCCGTCCTGATCACACACCGAAAGCGACGCCTCGCTGACATGCCCAGTCTCTTCCTCGCAGGCCCCTTCTCCATCCCTTGCCTTTGGAGCCAAAAGCAGGGTGTGGGTGAGGGAACAGGTGTGGCTGGTTGCTCTGGCAGCCTTCGGCCAGGACAGAGCGGTCCATGGGTGGGAACAGGACCCTGGTCACTTGGAGGCACACGTGACATAGCCAGAGACAGGACCCATGTGGTGTTATGAGGCCTGGGCCTCGCCCGCCCTGTGGGCCCGACCCAGGTACCAGTCGGAATATGACCTCTGGGGCAGGGCCTGCAGAGTCGGGGGTCTGTGCGGCACTGCAGCCTCTTGCTGGCAAAGAACTCTGGCTGAGTCCAGGCCTTCACCTCTGCCCCGAGGGTTCCCAGGGGCCCAGATCCTCCCAGGAACAAAACAGGATGGGGAAGCTGCCCACAGGGCCTGGCCTCCTGACCCGATTTCTGGGTGGAGAGAACCAGAGCTTGCTGGGGCCTGGGAGCACGGCCCCCGCCTGGCACTGGCCTGCGGGCTTAGTCTCACTGTTTGGCCCCTGCATCCTTTTTTCTTTTTTCTTGTTTTGTTTTTAAAATTTGCTATAGGGTGTGAGTGTTCACCGGAGAGAGACAGAGAAAGAGAAAGTGAGAAAGCATACCCAAGGGGGAAGGCCGCGCCTCGATCCCTCCTCTTCTACTCCACTTTTAGGATTTTGGGTGCACTTATTTCTCCAGCTGCCGGGTCTGGAACTCGGACAGTGCGGTCGGCCATGTGGGATCCAGCTGCTACAACTGTCATGGCATGGGCTGGCCCCAGCCTGACCTCCTCTCCCTCCTCAGCCTGCAACTCCCACACCTGCCGGTCTCAGGTTTGGGGACAAATCCTGGCAGCCATGCTGCTCACCGCGGGGGCGGAGAGGATCGTCTGGGTCAAGCCTCACTCCAATATGGGGGCAGTACCATTTAGTCCTTGTCACCCAGAGGGGGCTCAGGGAGGGGAGGTGAAGTTGCTTGGTCCATGGCAGGAAGCAGCGGAGCTCTCGGGCCAGCCACCCTCAGCACCCTGCCCCTTGGCCTGGCCTTCCAACACCACATCGAGGACCGAGGAGCAGGGGGTGGGAGGTGGGCACTGCACAGGGTCTGGCACTGCTCTGGGCCTGGATCCTTGCCAGCTTTGCTCGTAGGCCTCAGTCGAGGCCTCCCTCAATGCCCAGAATCACCCCTAAACCCAGCCAGGTGGGGAAGGTCGGGCTCAGTGTGAAGTGGCTCCTGGTGTCCACCATGGCAGCCTGGTGACAAATGACCTGGGCTCTTGCTCAAGAAGAGGAGCTTTGATGGAGGTGGGCCCTAGAGGACAATACCCAGGAGACCACCCCCCAAGTCCTTCCCCACCTCCCAGGCCCGGGGGAGGGGGGGGGAGTCTTGTCCCTGCAGAGAATCCAACCCATGACCCCAAGGGCAGACCTAACGCTTTAAAATAACCATTCTGGCTTCAGCGTGTCAAAAAGCAAGTACAGGCCAGGCCACCTGCCACACACCAGGTCTCCCCCGAGCTAGGGGGAACCCCGTCCAGGCAATCAAGTCTTCCAGACAGGCCACTTTGTCTTATCAGACAATGAGAGTCAAGTCACCCCTGGGAGTCCTCCAGAAACTCCCTGCCTCTTCTTGGCCTGGTTCTGTCAGTCATGCACGTAACCCAGAGACAAGAGACCCCAGGACTGTTTTATGTCCCGGGACACTGAGAATGAGGGAGGGTGAGGTGAGCGGAGGGTCACCCAGCTGGTCAGCGATGGGGCCAGTACCCGCCATTCCTGACTGCAGCACAAGCAACCCCCCCTCGCAGTGGACAAACATCCAGCCCTCGCTGCTCTGCCCTCAACAGTGTGCCCAGCCTGCTCTCTGTGTGGAGGCTGTGCCGAGCAGAAGAGCCCCGCGCGGTCCTGGCCACCCGTTCTGGGCTCCAGGACACTGGGCTGACCTGGGCTGAAATGGTTTTGCCTCTGGCCGAGGGCGAGACCGAGAAGTGCGCCCGGCAAGTCCAGCGGTTCACTTAGGACGCGTCCCCGGGAGCCCGATCCAGCCAGCCGGCGCAGCTCTCCGCTCGGCCACGGCACTCCTACCCCTACCAAAGGCAGGCGGAGAACAAGGGGCTGGGGGCGTTCCCGCCGCGGCTTCTGGCGGGCGGGGCCCGGAGGAAGACGACGGCAGTCGCTCCAGGAGCCCGAGCTCCTGAGCACGGAGCCGGAGAACAAACCTCCCGCCCACTGCCCCCCTCCCCGGGCGTCGGGGCGCTCTGCGGGGACTCCGGAGGCCTCCAGGCGGGTCCAATGGAGCCTCTTTTAAAAAGCTGGCCCGGTCCTCGCGCCCCTATGAACCCCACCGGGCACTTCCCCCGAGGAGCGGCTCCCAGGACGGCTCGGGGGCGGGACCCCGGTGCTCCGATCTTCTGTCGCGCTAGACGCCCCGGCTATCCCCGCTCGGGCTCACCCACCGTGCACCAGCCTCCGCATGTCCTGGTATCGAGGCCCCAGGTGTGCGC